GAGCGAGGAATTGATGCCGCTGCAGGCGCTCGTGCTGTTTACCGTATGTTCAATTAATCCCGGTTACGGATTGTTATCCCCCCCCCCCCTTTCAACCTCTGATGGGAGTTTCTGTAGGCATGTCTACGTGGTGGCGAAGATACCCGGACGGCGTGGACCCTCGTGGGCCTCGCGGTGCGAATAGCGCAGTCGCTCGGCCTGCACCGCGACGGCTCCCACTTTCCCATCACGGCGTTTGAGACGGAGATGCGCAGGCGCCTCTGGTATGAGATTTGCATTCTGGATTTCCGGACGGCCGAGGACCACGGCTGCGACCCGAGCATCCTCTCCATCTCGTACGACACCAAGATGCCGCTCAACATCAACGACAATGACCTCAGCGAGGAGGGCGTGCCCGTGTCGCGCAAGGGGCACACGGAGATGACGTTCTGCCTGCTACGCTTCGAGGTGCTGGGGTGCTATGGCTTCCTGTTCCGCAACGACGGCGGCGTCAGCCTGGCGGAGCGGGAGAAGAAGATTGAGGTTACGCGGCTGATGATGTTTGAAAAGTACCTCAAGGAGGTTGACCACACGGATCCGCTGCAGAAGGTGACGTACACGGTGTGGAAGCTGATGATGGGCAAGGCCCTGCTGAGCCTGTACCACCCATTGCGGCACTATAAGGACGGGGAATTCCTATCCAAGGACCTGAAAGAGAGGTAACTACACCATCCCCCTCCCCCCCTATGAATAATCGAAGCGGAGCTAGGCAATTGACAGCAAACCCCTTCTCCCCCTCTTGCGCTTCCCCCCCACACAGACTCTTTATAGCCGCGCTAGAAACGCTCGAATACGGCGCTGCGTTTGCCGTCAACTCGCTCACGCACGGCTACGCGCAATGGAACTGGTTCTTTCAGAAGCACGGCCACCCGCACTCGCTCGCGCTGGTGCTGCTCGAGCTCAATGAGCGCCCCGTGTACGACGCGGACGGGCTGTACGACCGCGCGTGGCGCGCCGTCGATGGCTACTTCAACAGGGACCTGTGGTCGACGGGCAAGCCCGTGCTGTCGGAGAAGATTTGCTTGTGGAAGCCGCTGGGGAGGCTGCGTGATAAGGCGCTGAAGCGGCGGGCGCGCATTATGGCGCAGGAGGAGGAGAGGAGGGGCGGGGCGCTGGGTGGAGGAGGAGGAGGAGGAGGAGGGGGCGGCGGCGGCGGCAGCGCAGAGGCGGGGAAGGCGGGGGTGGGGGACGGGGGCGAGGGCGGGATGTTGGGGGAGCTGGTGGGGACGGAGGAGTGGGGGTCGATGGAGGATTCGCCCCCGATTGATTGGGTAGGTGGTTTTGGCGGCGGCGGTGGGGGTGGTGGTGGTGGTGGTTTTGGGGTTGATGGGGGTTGTTTGGAGCTGTGGTGGTGAGAGTGGATGATGATGGATGCATGGCTAACTAACGGGTGTGTAGAATGCGTGGGATGATATGTTTACGACCGCAACGATGGATTTCGAGTAGGGATGGAAACGGGGCGGGTAACGGGAGGGACGGGGCAGGGGCAGGGGCAGGGGCAGGGATAGGGACGGGGGCTTTGGGGGGGGGGGGGGGGAGTTGCTGTTTGACTATATCTATGTGGGGTGTTTTGTGCAATTGGTTGAAACATAACGGTATGGTGTTTTCGGTGCAATGCTTCACATTTGACTTTTTATTTTCCTTCCCTCTCTCTCTCTCTTTTTTCCTTTTTTCCTTTTTTCTTTTCTTTTTATATTCCTTTGCTAGTATTGTTTTTTTTTCCTACTCTCTCTCTGTCTCTCTCTCTCGCTTCTCTCTCTTGTTTCCAAAGACGTTGCCGTTGTTGACTGTGGCCAACAATTACCAAAAATTAAAGTAACTGTACTTGTGTATCTACAAATCTATATATCGCCAAGAAGATCTAGAATGAACCCCCCCCCCCCTTCCTCCCAAAAGAAAGAAAAGGAAAAAGAAAAAAGAAAAAAGAAAAAAGAAGTATAAAAAAAAAGAGCCTCCCCCGCGCGCGCCCGCCCAGCAGTATAACGTCCTGGGTGGCCGCGGGGGGCGCCCCGGCTGCACTGCAGCTGGCTGGACCGGCTAGTAGTAGATAAGCGGGCCGGACGAAACCACCGACTAAAAACCAACCTCCCAACCGCCCCACCCTCCCCCGGGGGGGGGGGGGGGGGGGGCATCTACATACGTACTCACTCTATATAGCGATCCACAAGCATCTGGCGAATCCACCCATTCCCATCCCAATTGACGACCAGAGGTTACGGCCAGTAAGGGATAGGAAGCAGGATACAGGATATCCAGGTCAAGGTTAAACTCGCAGTTTGTCGGCTGGTTGCTGGCTGGTTGCTGGCTGGTTGTTGGCTGGTTGCTACAATACATACAGACAGATTCGCCAAATGGGTGGGTGTGTTCGCCAATTGCCTGTCGATCGCTGTAGAGTAAGTACGTAGTTTTTTTTTTTTTTTTTTTTTTGGCTGATTACCGTATGTACCTACATATCGACTTGCACCGATGCATGCACGACCAGCAACCGAGCCGACGTCGGCGACACTCGACACTCGACACTGAATCCCCGAACCGCACCCCCTGGGCTGGTTGGTCCCCGGGTTTCGGTTTCTGCAGGCTCCAGGGTGGCTCTCAACCGATGTCCAGCCAGCCAGCCCCAGCCCCAACCACAACCAACCCGCCAGCCCGTTTCCCCACGGCAGCAGCGTGCCAGGACGGGGCGGGAAAACGTGCACAGGCACAGGCACAGGCTGCGACGTCGGCGATGTGCTTCTCGGGGACTTGGGGGAGGGGAGGGGTGGGGGTGGGGGCTAATCATTGTGGGGAGGCTAGTTTTTTTTCTTTCTTTTTTCCTTTCTTTTTTTCTTTTTTAGCACGTGTGGTTCTGGGTTAGTGTGGTGGGTGCATCTGTGGGGGGGAGTGAGTGAGTGACCTCGCCGATGTCGCTTGGCTTGGCTAGGGATGGATGCCATGGCATGGCAATGGCAATGGGGGGAGACGCCGAGTGGCTGTGGATGGGATGATGGGACGGAGGGGGGAACGACGGGGCCGTGGAAGGGGAGGATGGGAAAGGGAAGGGGAAGGGAAGGGGAAGGGGAACGGGGTGGGGCCTCAATTGAGGATCCCGGGGCACTGTGTTGGGGGCCGTGGGATGTGCTTCGAGTTGTGGTGTGCGTGCGGGCAGGCAGATGGGCGGGGGGTGGATACTTGGGATATAAAGGGCAGTGGATCTCTCTGTTTCACTCTGGTGGCAATTACCCCAATCTCCATTATCAGATAATTGCAACCGTGACAATGTTCACCCCCGTCGAGACCACCATCGGCGCCCTCCTCCTCCTCCAGTCCACCACCACCCTCCTCCTCGGCACCGGCCAGCCGCTCGGCGCCTCCTCCACCCTCGGCACATCTCTCTTCTCCCCCTCAGTGCACAACCTCCCCCTCCTCGGCGGCATGCTGCTCGCCACCGCCGCCGCCGCCTCCCAGCACCTCCCCCCCCACCACCACCTCCTCCCCGCAGCACCACCGCCCCCCCTCTCCCCCCGCCACATCCTCGCCGCCGCCCTCGTCGGCGCCGGCACCCGCCTCGCAAACGGCTGCACCTCCGGCCACCTCCTCTGCGGCGTCCCCCACCGCTCCCCGCGCTCCCTCGCCGCATCAGCAATCTTCTTCACCACCGCGGCACTCACCGCAACCCTCTCCTCGGCATGGTACGACACCACCCCGCCCTGCGCAGCCGGTACCATCCCCTGCTCCACCCTCGCCCTGCCGACGCCCGCGGCGGCAGCCAGCCTCCTCTCCCTGCTGGCGCTCACGTCCCTCGTCTCTGCGGGGCTGCTGCGGCTGCTCCCGCGCGGGCGGGCGCTGTCCGTCGCGGTGGTGCGCGGCTGGGCCGGCGCCGTGTTTGCGCTGGGTCTTGTAGTGTCGGGCATGGCGGACGCGCGCAAGCCGTTGCGGTTCTTGACGTTCCGCGCGGGGCTGTGGGATCCGAGCCTGGCGCTGGTGGTGGTGGGGGCGGTTGTGCCGGCGGCGGTGGGGTGGGGGTGGGCTGCGGGGCGGGTGGGTGGGAGGCCGGTGGTGGGCGGGGAGTGGTTGGTGAGGGGGCGGGAGGTGGGGGGGAGGCTGCTGGCTGGGAGTGTGCTGTTTGGTGTGGGGTGGGGGCTGGCGGGGGTGTGTCCGGGGCCGGGGGTGGTGGGGCTGGTGGGCGGCGGGGGGAGGGCGGTGGGGTGGGTGTTGGCGTTTTGGGCGGGGTGGGGGGCGGCGGGGTGGCTTTAGGGGGGGGGGTGGTGTGTTTCGTTTCGGTAGTACGGCTGACGCTGGTGGTTTCTTTACTTTGCTTTGTGCATAACCTTCTCTTCTCCATCTTCCTCAAAGATGTATGTATGATGTATCCATAGACTACTACCAAACCCCATAGATCTACCCACCTACCCACCATAGACCCCGTAAACAACCCGATAGCAGCTTTAGCAACTACATACACACTCTCCATATGAACCCCCGACCACACCCGACATCCATCTACCCACACCCGTGAAACAGTACCACCACGCTTGCAAGTTTGTACCTACACACATCTCCCGTATACACCGTCGAATGAATGCGCTTCGTAGAGCCCGCCCGTAGAGTTTAGTTTGCCCCCCCCCCGGCGCATGTACTAATATGACAAATTACTACCCGAGACAGCGTCTGAGCTCGATCATGTTCCGGGCACGGTTTTTCCAGATCTCAAACAGACACAGAAGACCGTGCCGGCGGGAACTACGTACTTGTACCTGCCCGATTCCGCCATCATCGGTTTCACGTAAAAAACCGCGATCCGAGATCCGAATCGATCCAGATAATGATCGCAAATCTAAAACCCACTTTTGTACTAGGCAGGCACCTAGGTACAAACAAACAGACTCACTCCACTCACCCTCACCATCTGTCAGTGTCGCGGTTTCACCACGCACCCGCAATAACCTACGTACCAAGTGCGAAAAGAAAAAGAAAAAAATAAGTGACAGAAGTGGGACTTGAACCCACGCTCGTTTCCGAACCAGGAATCGATGTTAAGTATTTTCAAGACCTTAACCTGGCGCCATAACCAACTCGGCCATCCTGCCCATGCCCATTCCCCTTCTGGCACTCTTATGTGAAATCAATTCCTCACCCCTAACCCCCCGCTCCCACTTTTTACTCGCCAAGGCCCACCAACCAAATCCTGGGCGCCGCCTTGGCACCACCACTTCACCCGGGTTCCAGGGGGCGATGACGCAATCTGTGCCGCGAACGACGTGCCTCATTTGCGGAAACCTTAATTTGACTTCACGGCTGCGGGTTTTTGTGTCTGTGACACGGGTGGGTGCGTGTGGGGGCCGGGTTGGTTGGGCAGGTGTGGTTGGAGAAACGCAGAATTTGGCACGGGTGCTGGGATATTCTGCGCTCCTGGGTTGTTGGTGGCACGCCTCGCACCCCCCCCCCCAACCTTATAGAGAGGTTCTGCGACAGAGTGTGTACTAAGGCAGGGGTGAAGATACAGGCAAGGTTGCGAGAGGATAAACATGAGGGTTTTGCACAAAATACGTATCATGTTTGTTAGTGCTATTACATACTGGAGTAGTTTTCTGTCTTTGGCTGGACTTTGGTCAAACTAGAGTTTTTGTTTACGATAAATAGCGTGTATTATAAATGTTTGTGAAGTTTTTTCAACCTCTCTATCTGTCGAACTATTGATCCTGGTCTCATCCTGGTCTGATCCCAGCGGTCGCTGTGGAAACATAATACAAAATCGATTTCTGTCAGTTGCAGAACCTCTCTTTGTATGTCTTACGTGTATTTGCCTGGTAGGGGCTGTGCTGTGAGGTAAAAGAGTTCGGTATCCAGGATTCCCGCATGGTCACCCACTGCAGTACTGACTGGACGATATGATGGTTGTGTATGGCAGAGCGGACGGGATGCCCAATTTTCATCATTCTATGACCGAACACGTGATGGTCGCCCATGTTTGCATTCTTCAAACGGGTGAGGTCTCATGACGCGCAGCCCGAGTGAGCACTTGTGATCTAATTACTTGTAAGCACGTCTTCCCTTTTTTCTCTTCTTCTTTTGTTCAATCCTAGGCACGTAGCTTTTTCGTCATTTGCGGAGGGCCATTTCTTTCGCACTCGTGTCTGTCATTCCCGGTACAGTTTTCACTCCGCTAATAGATTTGCTGTGTTTAAGTTATTGTTACAGCGCTCTCTCATTACTCCAGAAACCGTCGATTGAAGGCGACAGTAAGGTCCAGGAAGAGATCGACCTTTTGCCCCAGAAAGTCAGAATGTCTCCAGTCGCGTCTTGGCACTGTAAAAATGGGTGTCAGCATTGTTCCGGAGGGTTGAGATTAAGATGTACAGCGCGATCTCGAAAGTGAGGGCATGACACCCATTTTACACCAAAAATGCTACTTTTCAACGTAGCCCTAGACCACCAATTATCATGAATAATGCCCGAGGATTGGAGAAGTATCTTTCTTGCATGTTAAGAATTACTCTATCAGCTCAAAATTAAACTATTATGCCTCTAGCATGAGCTGTGTTGACTTTATTGTGTTGAGTTGCCAAAAACACGCCAAGATCACATATTTGTATGGGATGCAGCTGAATCTCCAATTTGATCTACTTCTAGCTCATGTACTTTCTTTCACATCTGACCCGAGAGAGTGCCCTTTTAGATATATTAAATTTGATACTGATTCCTGATCGCAATTGGGTTGTGGGTTTCCGTTCTGTTTAGGCCAATTTTAGTCTGAGTTTTATTTTGATCCAACTCACTACGTATAAATCCCTTTCTCTCCCGGAAAATGTCGTCCGGCCACCCTATAGTTGGTGCTAGGAGTGTATGTCCCTTGCTCATAGATCTCCTTATTTTAGTTATTAATCGCTTGGTCTCGCACCAAAAAAAACGCGACCCTCTGCGATACAGTGGACAGAACCGGCGGACGATGGGATAGCGAGACACGGCATTTGTATCTGTTTGTACAATCAGTCTCGCGCGATGACAAAAATGTCTATAGGAGTACAACTTACTTACTTATACCCCATCAGACGTCAATGCTACTCCGCTCCAACGTTGGAAGGGATAAAGGCATAATCCCATAAAACTCTTACCAAACCTTTATCTGCATAAAAGGCCCACATGCGTTAAATAAGGAAGGGATAAGGCTTATGACAGGATTTATGTCATGTGGAGGCTATTCTAAGCCTATGCTCTGGCTAAGGGTTTGAGTAAACCATATTTTTCCGTACCATTCTCAGGCCCCCCCCCGGGGGGGGGGGGGGGGGATTGGGGAGAGATTGATTTAAATCGAATAACATATAAGAATCTCTTGGTACCAACCATCGCCTGATCACCACGAAACGGGTCAGTTGAGCTTAACGAGTTATGGGATACTCATGTAGCAGGGTGCGGCGGGAAATGCGGAAGTACCACCGCTCATACGTGCGTTTAATGTCGTGCTACCTCGTCTCATGATCATCTGGGCCAATGTCCCGCAAGACCTTAGTACCTAGCTACATCCTCACATCGCCCAACGAAGCCTCAACTCATAAGGGATACTCTTGGTACTCTTTTCTTCACCAATGGGCATCTGCGGGTGTTTCCGGTGAACTGATATGAGTAAGAGGCGGAAGCCTATAGCATAAAAAAGAATCAAAAGAGTTCGGTATCCAGGATTCCCACATGGTCACCCACTGCAGTACTAACTAGACGATACGCTGTTTGTGTATGGCAGAGCGGACGGGATGCCCAATTTTCAACGTTCTATGACCGAACACGTCATATCTACGCACTTTTTCGGTTTCGAACGGGTGGGATTTCATGACGCTCAACCGAGTGAGGGGTTGTGATTTCAACACGCCTGGAGGGGTCAAGATGGTGACAGATAAGGGGGCAGGTATCGTGGGTATAATGTATGTACAGCGCCATATCAAAAGTCATGGGAAGACACCCATTTTACACCAAAAGTGCTACTTCTCAACCCGGTCCTCAACCACCGGTTTATGATGGATATTATCTGAGAGTTGGAAGACTATATATTTTGTATATGAATAATCGCTATATCAGCTGAAGATTACAATATTACACTTCTAGCATTAGTTGTGTTGGTGTTGATATGATGTTGAGTTGCAAAAAATGCTCCAAGACCGAAATCTCCAAGTCTCTCTACTTCTAACTCACGTAACTTCTTCCACATTGAATTTCTGAGAGTGCACTTCTAGGCTTATTAGATTCAAGAGCCAATATTTTATTCTCTAGAGCCTGATTCATTATTGATGTCAATGATGTTGTTGGTGGTGGTTGCATTTGGACCAATCTTTGGCGAATCTTGGCATGGTTTGGTTGCCTTCCCATGACTTTTGATGTGGCGCTGTACATTTTAAGTTACTATAAAGTACATACTCATCTCCATCACTTCCTCCGTACCATGTTACGCCCCCCGGCCCCCCTACCCCCCAATTACCATCGCCAAGGTAGGTACTAATCAGCAGCAGCGAATCCAACAGCACCAAATACAGCGTCAAATCGTGCACCAAACCAGCACCAAACCAGCACCAAATCGATGCCTCGATTGACACCAAATCGACGCCCAAATCAGCACCTATGTATTTAGTATGTAGGCACGGAAGTAGGCGCGGAGGTAGGCAGGTAGGCAGGTAGGCAAGTAGCTGGGTAGGAGTTGGGCAGGCAGGTAGCTATCGATGTACTTGTACTACCGAAATCACAAAAAGTCACTCGGTTTGTATTAAATGGATGCGGATGTCCGCATCACAAGAACTCACCCGTTCGAAATTGAAAAAGTGCGTAGATATGACGTGTTCGGTCATAGAACGTTGAAAATTGGGCATCCCGTCCGCTCTGCCATACACAAACAGCGTATCGTCTAGTTAGTACTGCAGTGGGTGACCATGTGGGAATCCTGGATACCGAACTCTTTTTGCTATTTCATTTTTGTCCGACGGAAGGGAGGGATGTAGTTGTCTGTTTTGAAAGGTCTTAGTACTTTCCACGTACGCTGACGGTGACGGTGATGGGGACGTAGCGTAGCCCACAAGACGAGCTGATTCGAGCCTTTAAGCCTGAGCTCATGTCTCGAGCCTGATATTGGGATCGGCTTGAGTCAGCGCAGTGTCCACATATTGATAGAGAAATCACGACAATTTTAAATACATTCAGCCTGGGTGTGACAAATAGCATACTATGTTGTCTCCCAAACCCTTGTAGACTCAAGCTTTGACGAGCGAGCCGAAGCAAGTATACATAGCACCACGAAACATAACTAATCTTAGCTCGAGTCTACATTATTCTTATAGCGCGGAGGTTATCTACCCCCCCCCCCCACTGACGATATCCGAAAGGCAGATTAAGGCGTGGGTTCTAGGGACTTGGGACTCGGAGACATTTTTTTTTGTTTAACTCATTAATTACATGCAGACCGTAGTCTATGATGATATCGCACTGCCCCTGAACTGCCCGTTCTCAACCGCCGCCTCGCCCAAGTACCAATATAATACAAGAAGGTTAGTAGCTATCGTAAGAACTAATGTTTCCATATAGGTGACCGCGGGAGTACACACAGAAAGCCTTTTTATCCCGTGGGCCTGACAACGCGGCGAGATTCCACACACGCAATTATTCACGGCGGCGAGCAAGACCAGGTGGTGACAGACAGGAATTCTACTGAGCAAAAAGACCATGATCCTCTTCACCTTTTCTTACCCGTTAAAATCCGCCTTACCTGTTGTAATATTAGTTAACAGCCAGGTCAGTGTCTCCATCTTCACCGCGTCAATGATTATATCACAGGATACCTTAGGCGGCCAGTCCCAATCAAAATAATATGACCGAACCGGATACTACATTTTCCCATATATGAGTAAGAGAGTGGAGGTAAAGGAGTCAATCCTTGGAGAAACACGGTGACAGCTATTCTCATAGTCCTAAGGCTACACGTAGTAATTGACTTAGCAATGATAACATAATTCGGTCTCAGGCTGTCACTCGGTATTCGTACATATGTACTAACACTGTACTTTCTGGGAGAATGGCGAGCCCTGTCTGATGACGAACCCAACAACAAAAGTCA